AATTTTTTATTGACTTAAACTTGCAGAAGTCATTTTTGGAAATATTTCTTCCAAAATTTCATCGAAGTACTTTTCCAGAGTCATCAAAGTGAAATATGGTCATTTTTGAGATATTTAAAACCTTTGATTTTGAAACCGAAATTTTCAAAAAGCTTGGTTTGAGATCATTTAATAATAATCCGTTTATCGATATCTATTTTGTACATTTTAGTGAATTTTTAGGCGACTTTGTTAAAAATTCAAATTTTCAATATTCATCGTCTTGAAATTTTCGACCTTTTCCCGAACTCTCAAAAATCACACATTTTTTGTTGATTTAAACTCGCAGAATTCATGTTCTGAAATATTTCTTTGAATATTTCAACTACTTTTCCGGAATCACCAAAATTAAATGTAGCCATTTTTGGGATATTCTGAAAATTTGTTTTTGAAACCGAAATTTTCCAAAATCTTGGTCTCAAACCAATTTGTAATCAGCTCATCATTATCTATAGTCAGATTATTACAACTTTTTTAAAAGCTAAAATGATCAAAACCCCTTTAAAATTTTTTAGCTTTTTCAGGGTACTTTCGAAAAGTATCCAGAAACACTTTTTTCTTAATTTCTACTCGCAGAAATCATTAATTTACTTCAAAAATTTTGAAACCAAATTTTCGAAAATTTTGGTCTGGGATCATTTTTTAATCAGCTTATCGATATCTATTTTCTTGATTTGTTTTTGTGGATTTTCAGACAACTTTTTTTGAAAGCTCATATTTTCAATATGCCTCTTTTGAAATTATCGACATTTTTTCGAACCGTTTTGAAAATCACCCCAAATATGTTTTGTTAACTACAGTATATTTCTTCGAAAATTTCAATTACTTTTCTAGAATCACCGATCTTAAATTATTGGACATTTTTGAGATATTTAAAAAAATTGATTTATTTTGAAACCAAAATTTTCTAAAATCTTCGTTTCCGACCCTTCTCTAATCAGCTCATCAATATCCAGATTTTTTGTGGATTTTTAAGCAAATTTGTTAGAAGCGCACATTTTCATAATCCCCTTTGAATTTTTTTACCTCTGCCAAGTATTTTCGAAAAGTCCCCAAAAATTGTTCATTTCGAATTATTGCAGAAGCCATTTTGGGCAAAAATTTTTTCAAAAATTGCTAACTGTTAGGGAATTATCAAAACAAACTACATATTGCCGTTCTTGGTATTTTCCAAAATTTTAATTTTGAAACCAAAATTGTCAAAAACTTTGATCTGGAGCCATTTTCTAATAAGTTCATCGATTTCTATATTCCAGATTTTTGTGGTTTTCTTATAAAAAATTCATTATTAAAAGCTGAAATTTTCAACATTCCATCCAACCTCTTCGAAAATCCTCCAATGATATTTTTTTGTTGATTTAAACTTGCATAAGTCATTTTCGGGAATATTTCTTCCAAAATTTCTTCTACTTTCCCAGAATCATCAAAATGAAATATGTCATTTTTGAGATACATATTTTAAAAATATGACTTTGGAACCGAAATTTTCGAAAATCTTGGATATATATTCCGGACCACCTTCGAAAAGCACCTAAAACGTGTTTTTATTAATTTCGACTTGCAGAAGTCATTTTCAGCGACATTTTTAAAAAAAATTTTCTAGAATCACCAAAATGAAATATTGCCGTTTTCGAGATATTTCAAAATTTTATTTTCGAAACTGAAATTTTCGAAAATTTTGGTCTGAGGCCAATTTCTAATCAGTTCATCGATATCCAGATATATTCCAGATTTTTTGTCGATTTTTCTGCAACTTTAAAAAACTGAAATTTTCAATATCCTTTTCAAAATTTTTGATTTTTTCTTTAGAACTTTTTCTAAAATCATCCATTTTTTGAATTTAAACTTGCGGAAATCATTTTTGATAATATTTATTCCCAAATGTCACCTACTTTTCGGGAACCGTCAAAATGAGATATGATCATTTTTGGGATATTTCCAGGATTTTACTTTCAAACCGAAATTTTCAGTTTATCGATAACTATATTTTAGATTTTTTGTGGACTTTTGGCTAACTTTGTGAAAAGTTCAAATTTTCAATATTCACCGTCTTGAAATTTTTAACTTTTTTTTGAACCCTTTCGAAAATCACCCAAAAACATTTTTCAAAGACTTTTGTGCTGATTTAAACTTGCAAACTCAATTTCGGGAATATTTCTTCGAAAAATTCTACTATTTTTACAGAATAACCACATTTTTGCGATATTCCAAAAATTTAATTTTGAAACCGAAATTTTCGAAAATCTTGGTCGGAGACCATTTTTTAAGCATTTCATCGATATCTATATTCCTGATTTTTTGTGGATTTTTGGGTAAAAGCTCAAATTTTCAGTACACCCACTTCCGAAATTTTTTAATTTTCCGAGCGCTATCAAAAATTACTCAAAAAAATATTTTCGTTAATTTCAACTTGCATCAGTCATTTTCGGCAACATTTTTTCAAAAACTGCAAATACTTTGCCGGAATCACCAAAATAAAAAATTGCCGTATTTGAGATATTTAAAAATTTAATTTTCGAAACCGAAATTTTCGAAAATCTTGGTCTGAAACCAACTTCTAATCTGTTCATTAATATCTATATTCCAAATATTTTGTTGATTTTTTTGCAACTTTATTAATAACTGAAATTTTCAGTATTTTTCACTCGAAATTTTCGACTCTTTTTGGAACTTCTTCTAAAATCATCCAAAGACATTTTTTGTTGATTTAAACTCGCTGAAGTCATTTTCTGGAATAAGTATTTCTTCGAATATTTCCACTATTTTTCGGTAATCACAGAAATGAAATTTTGCCATGTTGGGAATATTTCAAAAAATTGATTTTGAGATCGAAATTTTCGAAAATCTTCGTCTGAAACCATTTTGTAACTAGCTCATCGATATCTGCACTACATTCCAGATTATTTTTGAATTTTTGGCTAAGTTTGTTAAAAACTGGTCTATGTCTTGGCCAAATCAGTCCATTGAAATCTATATTCCAAAAATTTAATTTTGAAACCGAAGATTTCTAAAATCTCTGTCTGAGACCATTTTTAAAGTATCTCGTCAATAAATATATTCCTGATTTTTTGTGGTTTTTTAGCTAAAAGCTCAAATTTTCAATACTGCCACTTTCGAATTTTTGAATTTTTCTAAGCGCTTTCGAAATTTATCCAAAAAAATGTTTTTGTTAATTTAGACGTGAACAGCCGTTTTCGACAACTTTCCTTCGAATATTCCAACTATTTTTCAAGAAGCACAAAAATTAATTACAACAATTTTAGGGATATTTTAAAAATTTGGTTTTGAAACTGAAAATTTTGCATAATTTGGTATGGGACCATCAATAGACTATATTTTTCTAATCAGCTTGTCCATATCTACATTCCAGAATTTTTTGTGTGTATTTGGCAGAATTTACAAAAAGTCAAGTCTTCAATATCTTTTTGAAATTTGTTGTTTTTTCCGAACATTTTCGAAAATTATCCAAAGACATTTTTAGGCAAATTTCGACTGAAGAAGTCAAGTTCAGCAACATCTCTTCAAAAATTCCAACCATAATAACTAAAGTGTTGTGCAGAAAAATATAATTTCAAGAATTCCACAAGGATTCAGCCTGGAGCTGTCCTTTTTTGCTTGTTTTGCGAATGACTACCTATATTTTAGTATTGTTGGAACAAGCATCAATTTTAGTAAATTTTGACTGCACGTTAAGTTTATTCTAGTTTAAATTATAACAATGTTTTGATAGCGTAAAACAAAACATGTTATATAAACCCACGTTTCCCCACTTTATTCCAAAAAAACACCACAATATTAAGCGATAAAGACCAAACTTGTGTAGTTTGCTCTATAAATCTCCCCGCCTTATAAATTCCAAAAACTTTGTATACACACATACGTAACTTATCCAAACAGGTAGCTATACAAAGAAATACCGCATAATAACCCGAAAGCCTCTGCTTTCCATCAAAGCTACCAGATCCTAATCTTTTGCGAAGAGCTGTAAATTAATTCTGACCGGATTCAGTGAAGAACCTTTGCCTAAATTATTGCGGTCGGTTTCGAGCCAGCCGGAAAGTCGGGAAGGTGGTCTTACTGATAAATAAACAACAACCTTCCGTGAAATATACTCTGATATCGAAATACGCGTTTTTGAACGTACACCCACCTGTAATGGACACCGCTAATGAGAAAATTCGGAGCATAGCTAGTAAATAATTATCGCTCGTTAACATTAATTTTAAATATTTTAATCATAAGGCTTCCGACCAAAATTTACAACGACAATATTTTTGCGCAGCTGCAAACTGAGGTACAAATATCAGCTTGCTCATTGTCATTCAAGCGAATAATTACTAATGTGTGGAGCCGAAGTTAATAACACAGCGTGAAAAATTACAGGCAAGGTATCACGAAAAATACGCCGCTAGTAATTTATCATTCTATTTTTTTTAGATAGTCATTAATTTGCAATTTAAATACAGGTCCTAAGTTAAGCAACCGTGTGTTAAAGTATTTACGAAATCCATATCTTACAAAGGTGGAATTAAGAAATTCGTCAAGTACGAAAAATGTATGTGTCGTGGAATAAATTTGTAGTGTGAGATTTTTTCACTGAATGGCAGCTGAATTCATTTACATAACAAATTTTCGCTGTTTGAATTTTTTTAACAACAATTATTATTACAGACAATTTATTATCCACACAACTCACCGTTCAGTTCGATCTAATAATAACTAATTCAGAGTTCAGATGGAAATCTGCGACTTCCTTGCCACAGTTTTGAATGAACGATATAAATACCCTTTCCAGCGCGTGCCGCTTAAATTCCGGTGAAAATTTACTCACCTTTTCCGCATTTTCCCTCTAAAAATAACCACAGTATTTAAATTAAGAAAATTTATCAAGCGCACGCAAACTAGATACACCTTTCAGATACACATGCAGTAAAAGCAACTAGTTGTTTGTTTTGGTCTGATTATTGTATTTGAAAGAAATTTCTAACTACAGCAAACATAGACAAACAATAAACGTTATAGGCTATTTTGTTAAAACGCAGCAGGTTTCACCGGAAGCGCACCCAAGACGACCGATATTTAAATTTCCAGGACATTCCGCAGAGGGTCGACAGACGTTGTGGCGTTGGAGACAATTCACTTGGTTTTCGGGAACTGGAAGAATTTGGTTAATTGAGGAATAGCAGGATGCAGGACTTACAGTTTGGACAACAAACTGCGCCGTCTTTTTTCTGGCCGGAGCAGAGGTCGGCCTGGGGGGCTGAGACGGTTTGGGGGCATTCTGATCTCAGGACGCAGTATCCTTTGGCGTTTGCACAAGCTTCCTCTCGGTAGAAGTTGGATTCTGTAATAATAACAAGCAGGATTTTTTTTAATTAGCTCTGTTCAAAGAATTTTTAATTTTCATGAAACGAGTCAAGGCTGCAGATGTCGGAACACAGGATGTTAATTATTTTTATTACAAAAACAAATATTCAATATGGGGTAGTTAATTTTGTGAGCAACATTTTCAAAGAAACTGATTTGAAAACGATTTTTTTTTAATACCTCAAAAATTATCATTCTTCATTTTGTAGAATCCGGAAAAATAGTTGGAATTTTCGAAGATATGAAGCCGAAAATAACTTCTATAAATGTTTTTAGATCATTTTCTAAGAGTGTTCGAAAAAGGATAAAAAATTCGTTTTGGAAAATTGAATATTTTGAAAAGTTGACTATAAATCCTGAAATAATTCGGAGAAATATATCCGACGAGCAAATTCAAAAAACAAAACGTGTATTGGTCCTGGAGTAGGATTTTTTGAAAATTCGATATGAAAATGAATTTTATTAAATAAGTATCTCAAGATTTCTGTTTATTTTGTCGATTTTGGAAACACAATTACAATTTTCGAAGAAATGAAGTTGAAAATAACTTCTATGAGTCGAAATCTGCAAAAAAATGTCTTTAGATAATTTTCGAAGAATATGCGATAAACGGTAAAAAAATTCATATAGAACAATGAAAATTTTTGAAAAGTTGACCAAAAATCTTTAAAAAAATTCTTGGAAATCCATTTTAATTAGCTGCTTCGAAAAATTTCATGTGTTCCAATCCCAGATTTTCGAAAAATTCGCTTTAAAAATCTCAAAATTTCTGTTCTCTGTTTTATCGATTTTGGAAAAACAATTGGAATTTTCGAAGACATGAAGCCGAAAATAACTTGTACGAGTCGAAATATACAAAAAAAATGTCATAAGATAATTTTCGAAGAATACGCGATAAACGTCGAAAAATTCGTATTAAAAAAGTGAGATTTTTGAAAAGTTGACCAAAGATCCTGAAAAATTCTGAGAAATACATTTCGAGTAGTTGATTCGAAAAATATAATGTGTTCATTGTCCCGAACCAAGATTTTTGAAAAATTCGCTTTGAAAATAAACTTTGTTAAATATCTCAAAATTTCTGTTTCCCATTTTATCGATTTTGGAAAAACAGTTGGAATTTTCGAAGAAATGAAGCCGAAAATAACTTCTACTAGTCCAAATATATGGAAAACATGTTTTTAGATAATTTTCAAAGAATGCTCGAATGGTCGAAAAATGCATATTGAAAAATGAAAATTGTTGAAAAGTTGATTAAAAATCTTTAAAAAATTCTTGGAAATACATTTTAATTAGCTGCTTCGAAAAATGTTATGTGTTCATGGTTCCAAACCCATATTTTCGAAAAATTCGCTTTGAAAATGAATTTTATTAAAAATCTCAAAATTTCTGTTCTCTGTTTTATCAATTTTGGAAAAACAATTGGAATTTTCGAAGAAATGATGCCGAAAATAACTTGTACGAGTCGAAATATACAAAAAAAAAATGTCTTAAGATAATTTTCAAAGAATACGCGATAAACGTTGAAAAAATCGCATTAAAAAAGTAAGATTTTTGAAAAGTTGACCAAAGATCCTTAAAAATTCTGAGAAATACATTTCGAACAGTTGATTCGAAAAATATAATGTGTTCATTGTCCTGAACAAAGATTTTCGAAAAATTCGCTTTTAAAATGAATTTTGTTAAATATCTCAAAATTTCTGTTTCCCATTTTATCGATTTTGGAAAAACGGTTAAGTTTTCGAAGAAATGTAGCCGAAAATAAAAAATTCTACTAGTCAAAATCTAGGAAAAAAATGTTTTTAGATAATTTTCGAAGAATGCTCGAACGGTCGAAAAATTCACATTGAACAATGGAAATTTTTGAAAAGTTGACTAAAAATCTTTAAAAAATTCTTGTAAATGCATTTTAATTTGCTGCTTCGAAAAATTTCATGTGTTCATGGTTCCAAACCCACATTTTCGAAAAATTCGCTTTGAAAATGAATTTTGTTAAAAATATCAAAATTTCTGTTCTCTGTTTTATTGATTTTGGAAAAAGAATTGGAATTTCCGAAGAAATGAAGCCGAAAATAACTTGTACGAGTCGAAATATACAAAAAAAAATGTCTTAAGATAATTTTCGAAGAATACGCGATAAACGTCGAAAAATTCGGATTAAAAAAGTGAGAAATTTGAAAAGTCGACCAAAGATCCTTAAAAATTCTGAGAAATACATTTCGAATAGTTGATTCGAAAAATATAACGTGTTCATTGTCCCGAACCAAGATTTTCGAAAAATTCGCTTTAAAATGAATTTTGTTAAATATCTCAAAATTTCTGTTTTCCATTTTATCGATTTTGGAAAAACAGTTAAATTTTGGAAGAAATGAAGTCGAAAATAACTTCCACGAGTTGAGATTTTTGAAAAGTTGACTAAAAATCGTTAAAAATTCTTGAAAATACATTTTGATTAGCTGATTAGAAAAATTTAATGTGTTCATGGTCCCCAACCTAGATTTTCGAAAAATTCACTCTGAAATTGAGTTTTGTTAAATACATATTTCAAAATTTCTGTTTTTCATTTTATCGATTTTACAAAAAAGTTGAAATTTTGAAGAATGAAGCCGAAAATATACAAAAAAATGTCTAGAAAATTTTCCAAGAATGCGCGATAAACGTGGAAAAATTCGTATTGAAAAATTGAGATTTTTGAAAAGTTTACTAAAAATCCTTAAAATTTCTTGGAAATACATTTTGATTAACTGATTAGAAGAATTGAATGTGTTCGTGGTCCCGAACCAAGATTTTCGAAAAATTCACTTTGAAATTGAATTTTGTTAAAAATATCTCAAAATTTCTGTTTTTCATTTTATCGATTTTAGAAAAACAGTTATAATTTTCGAAGAAATGAAGCCGAAAATAACTTCTATTAGTCAAAATCTACCGGAAAAATGTCTTCAGATAATTTTCGAAGAATGCTCGATAAATGGTCGAGAAATTCATATTGAACGAGTGAGATTTTTGAGAACTTGACTAAAAATCTTTAAAAAGTTCTTGGAAAATCCCTATTTTCCACTTTATCGATTCTGGAAAAATTGTTGAAATTTTCGAAGAAATCCAACCGAAAATAACTTCTACAAGTCATAGTATACAAAACAATGTCTTTGGGTAATTTTCGGTAAGTGCACAAAAAACGGTTAAAAATTCATGTGAATTGAAAAATTAATATATTTGAAAAGTCTAAATCTACAAAAAAAAAATTGAACAATGCTCTATAAACGGTCGAAAAATTCATATTGAAAAATTGAAATTTTTGAAAAGTTGACTAAAAATCCTCGGTCCCTTTTTGAAGAATTTGGTTTGGAAATGCAATTTTTCCACAATCTCAAAAACCCGAAAATAACTCGTACAGGTCAAAATATACAAAAAAAAAATCGAAGAATGCTCGATAAACGATTGAAAAATTCATACTGAATAATGAGATTTTTGAAAAGCTGCCTAAATATCCTTAAAAAATTCTGGGAAGAATTTACAAGTCGTAATATGCAAAATAATGCCTTTAGGTAATTTCCGATGGGTGCCCAAAAAACGGTAAAAAAATTTCTATGAATTAGAGAATTGAGATTTTTGAAAAGTTGATAAAAAGTTCTCAAAAAATTCTGGTAAATATGTTTCGACGAACTAAAACATAAAAGATATAAGGTGTTCGTGGTTTCGGGCCAAAATTTTCGAAAAATTCGGTTTGAGAAAGAAATTTTTTGAGAATTTCGAAAATCCTCATTTCTCATTTTGTCGATTATGGAAAAAATGTTGAAATTTTCGAAGAAATATTCCGAAAATAACTTGTACAAGTCGAAATATACAAGAAATCTCTTTAAGTAATTTCTGTTCACATTTTAGAACAAATAAAGCTGAAAATAACTTTTACAAACTGAAATATATAAAAAACAATGTTTTTAGGTAATTTTTGAAGAGTGCTCAAAAAACGGTTAAAAAAGTCGTATGAACCGAAAAGTTTTTTGAAAAGGTGAATAAAATTCAAAAAATATAATGTGTTCATGATCCGGAACCAAGTTTTTCGAAAAATTCGGTTTGAAAATGAAATTTTTCAAATATTTCAAAAATCTTCATTTTCTATTTAATCAATTGTGGCGAAATTGTTGAAATTTTGGAAGAAATAAACCCGAAAATAACTTCTACAAGTTGCAATATACCAGCAATCTCTTTGGGTAATTTTCGAAGAATGCTCAAACAACTGTAAAAAAACGAATTTATCAAAAAATGAGATTTTTGAAAAGTAGACTAAAAATTAAAAAAAAAAATTGTGAAATACATTTCGACAAACTAATTCAAAAAATATAACGTGTTAATGGTAGAGAATCAAGATTTTCGATAAATTCGGTTCGAAAATGATTTTTCTCAATATTTCAAAAATCCTCATTTTCCATTTTATCGATGCTGGAAATATTCTGTAGATTTTGGAAGAAATAATTTTGAAAAATTTAAATATAAAAGACAATGTCTTTAGGCAATTTTTGAGAAGTGCTCAAAAAATGGTCAAAAAATCCTTTGAACCCAAAAATTGACTTTTTCAAAAAGTTTACTAAAAATCCTTAAAAAATTCCGGAAAATACATTTCGACTAGGTGATTGGAAAAATATATTGTGTGTATGGTCCCGGACCAAGATTTTCGAAAAATTAGGCTTGGAAATGAATTTTTTCAATATATCAAAAATCCTGATTTTCCATTTTTTCTGGAAAAATTGTTGAACCTTTTAAGAAATGGTGACCAAAATAACTTCTACAAGTCGTAATATACAAAGCAATGTCTCTAAATAATTTTCGATGGGTGTTCAAAAAACAGTTAAAAAATTCATATGGATTCGAAAATTGAGATTTTTGAGAAGTTGACTAAAAATTCTCAAAAAATTCGGGTAAGTACTCTTCGACTAGCTAATTCAAAAAATATAACAAGTTTAAATAGTTTTGAAAAATTCGGTTTGAAAACGAAATTTTTTAAATATCTCAAAAATTCGTATGAACCGAAAAATTGAGATATTTGAAAAGTTGACTAAAATTCCTTAAAAAAATCTGGCGAACACATTTCGACTAGCTGATTTCAAAAATGTAATGTGTTCATGGTCTCGAACCAAAATTTTCGAAAAATTCGACTTAAAAATAAAATGTTTATATACCTATCTCGAAAATCCGCATTTTCCATTTCATCGATTCTGGAAAAATTATTGGAATTTTGGAAGAAATGAAACCTAAAATAAATTCTACAAAACAGTCTTTAGGTGATTTTCGAAGGGTGCTTAAAACAGTAAAAAAACTCGTATGAATCGAAAGATTCAGATTTTTGAAAAGTTGACTAAAAATCCTCAAAAAATTCTATTGGACGACTTAATTCGAAAAATTCAGTCTGACAATGATTTTTTTTTAAATATCTTCAAAATCCTCTCGTTTTCTTTTTATCAATTCTGGATCAATGTTTCAAATTTTCGAAGAAATGAATCCGAAAATAACTTCTACACAAAAAACAATGTCTTTACGTAATTTTCGAAAACTGCTCTAATAACAGTCAAAAAATTCCTACGAACCGAAAATTTTAGATTTTTGAGAAGTTGACATTTTGACGAGCTATTTCAAAAAATATAACGCGTTTATTGTCCCGGACCAAGATTCTTAAAAAACGCAGTCAGAAAATGCAGTTTTTCAAATATCTCGGTAATCCTTATTTTCCATTTTATCGATTCTGGAAAAATTGTTGAAATTTTCGAAGAAATCGAGACAAAAATAATTTCTACAAGTCGTAATATACAAAAGAATGTCTTTGGGTAATTTTGATGGGTGCTCAAAAAACTTTCAAAAAATTCCAAATATTTGGAAAATGGAAATTTTTGAAAAATCGACTAAAAATTCTTAAAACACTTTCACAAATATGTTCCGACGAACTAATTCGAAAAATATAACGTGTTTCTGGTCCCGGGGCAAAGTTTACGACAAATTAGATTTGAAAATGAAATTTTTTCAAAATTTCGAAAATCCCCATTTCCCATTTTGTCGATTCTGGGAAAACTGTTGAAATTTTGGAAGAAATAAACCCAAAAATAACTTCTACAAGTTGAAAAATACACAAAAAATCTCTTTGGATAATTTTCGAAGAATGCTCAAAAAACTGTCAAAAATTCGAATTTATCGAAAAATTGAGATTTTCGAAAAGTGGAGTAAAAATAAAAAAAAAATGTAAACGCATTTCGAGAAACTAATTCGAAAAATATAACGTATTAATGATAGAGAACTAAGATTTTCGGATAATTCGGTTTGAAAACGAAAATTTTTAAATATATACTTTGAAAATCCTCACTGTCCATTTTATCGATTCTGAAAATATTGTTCAGATTTTGGAAGAAATAAAGCCGAAAATAACTTCTACAAATTGAAATATAAAAAACAATGTCTTCAGGGAATTTTTGAGGAGTGCTCAAAAAACTAAAAAAATTCGTATGAACCGAAAAGTTGACATTTTTGAAAAGTTAACTAAAAATCCTTAAAAAAATCAACTAGCTGATTCGAAAAATAGATTGTGTTTATGGTCCCTAATCAGAATTTTCCAAAAATTCGGCTTGAAAATGAAATGTTTCAAATATGTATCTCGAACATTCTCATTTTCCATTTGGTCGATTCTGGAAAATTTGTTGAAATTTTTGAAGAAATGGGGACGAAAATAACTTCTACGAGTCGTAATATATAAAACAATGTCTTTAGGCAATTTTTGATGGATGCTCAAAAAACGGTCACAAAATTCATAGAAAACTGATATTTTTGAAAAATTGACTAAAACTTCTCAAAAAATTCTGGAAAATATGTTCCGACGAAGTAATTCGAAAAATATTACGTGTTAATGGTAGAGGACCAAGATTTTCGAAAAATTCGTTTTGAAAATGAAATTTTTTAAATATCCCGAAAACTCATATTTGCATTTTATCGATTCTGGAGAAATTGTTTGAATTTTCAAAGAAATAAACCCTAAAATCATTTCTACAAGTTGAAATAAACAAAACAATGTCTTTAGGTCATTTTCGAAAAGTGCTCAAAAACCAATAAACAAATTGGTAGGTATGAATCGAAAGTTAACCAAAAATTCACAAAAAATTTTGGACGATACATTTCGACGAACTATTTGAAAAATATATCGTATTAATGGTTGGGGACCAAGATTTTCCAAAAATTCGGTTCGAGAATGAAATTTTTTAAATATGTATCCGCAAAATTCGTATTTGCATTTTATTCACTCTGGAAAAATCGTTGGAATATTGGAAGAAATGAATCCGAAAGCAACTTTTTACAAGTCGATATAAAAAAAACAATCTCTTCAATGTACTCAAAAAATGGCCAAAAAATCGTACGAATTGAAAATTTGAAATTTTCCAAAAGTTGAGTATAAATTCTCAAAAAACCTGGCCAATACATTTCGACGAGCTAATTCGAAAAATATAACGAGTTGATGGTCTCGGGCCAAGATTTTTGAAAAATTCTGGTTGAAAATTAAAATTTTTAAATAAGTATGTCAAAAAACCTCATTTTTAATATTATCGAATCTGGAAAAAAATTTTAAAATTTCGAAAAAATGAAACCGAAAATAGCTTCTGCAAGTCGAAATATACAAAGCAATCTGTTTCGGTAATTTTCGAACGGTGCTCAAAAACGGTCAAAAAATCGTATGAATCGAAAGATTGAGATCTTTGAAAATTTTACTGAAAATTCTCAAATGGCCAATACATTTCGGCAAATTAAAAAGGTCAAAAATTCATACGAAAGACAAGAGAAAAAGAAATTCCAGATTTTTGAAAAGTTGCCAAGATTCGAAAAACATAACAATATTTACAATATACATATGTAAATGAGAAGGTAATGATGAAAGATCATACATCAAGTTGGCTTTGAAATTTTCTTGTCGCCTGTCACAAATGTCAATACTCATAAATCATGAACTAACTTCTTAACATTTTCAAGTATATCTGCGTGACAGATAGGCAACCAATAATTCAGCGCCAATTTTAAAGAAAACAACAAATTCTCATTAAAAATGCATTCGTAATCACATTTCCTGAAATAAGTTAACGAAATTGCCTATTAAAAATTACTACGATATATTTTCTAGAATTTCCATTGACTTGATTCCAATAAAGTGTATATGTATTTAGAAAAATTAAGAAGGAATTATGTTATTACAACACAACAAATAAATAGGGATATATAATCGAAAATAGAAAAAGAGCTTGAAAAGAACTCGGAGAATAAACAGAGGACACGGAAATCAAAGTTCAAGAAACAAATATAATAAAGAACCAAAGAAACAAAAAAATCGAAACAAATATGACAATAGAAATAGGAATGTTACATTTGTAGACCTGAAAAATTAGAAAGCGAAAACTAAAAATAAACTCAAAAAGCGCAAGATAATGACAATAGGGAAAACAAAATTAACAGTACAAAACAACATCAATATCTGAATGTGAAAGTTGTATACTTAGAAAAGTTCAAAATGTAGACTATGGAAATTCCGGCCCCCGCGACTTACAAGTGGTTAAAATTTGATGGCAGGTAAAACCCAAACATTTTGGGAAAGTACCTTATCGTAGGCGTCAAACTATAAAAGTCGGCGAGGTCATAGCAATAATTGTCAAACTGATTGATAGTTATTTAAGGACGCCCTCCTTACCCAAGACTGGTTGATAGTCAACACATTTTTTTAAATCGACTATAGTCTAAATTAAAGTTTTACAACTGTTATTAATTACGTAAAAATATCTTGATAGTGAATTTATTTTCAAGCACTCGTGAAACGATCCACATAACTCCTAAACTCACCAATAGCCATCGCACCACACACCAGCACCGACAAAACCCACACAAAATGCATCTTCTTGCGGTTTCTGATCACGTACAATCACAGAGTGGTGCTTTTCTTGAAGAATTTATAAGAGTGCTGCCTCGGGTTTCCCACTTGTTTTATTTGTACTCGCTCGAAAACGTTATCATTTCTCTGATAATTTTTTTCGCCACTGGGAACTCTAGTCTGAGGTGTCAGAAAAGAGAAAGTTGATAATGCGGTATTTCTGTCACACTTATACTATTTGCATATCTTCTTGATAACATTGCGCAAGCAACAACTAAATAATAAATATGCAAAAGATCGTTAATTTTTGCTTCGGAATTATTGCTGTTAATAGTGCTGATAGTGCGATTATTTACATATTTTAAAAGTATAATCGCTGCGTTTTACAGCAAGCGGATAAGAATTATTATTTTGATTTATCAAATAGCAGCCCGAGGCTGTAGTCTAATTTATAAATTTTAATATCAGCCTGCATAATAGAGAGCTGCACGGAATTGCATGTGAAATTAAAAAATGGGGTCAGGTGTCATTGAAATTTGTAAAAATGCGACTTGTTGAAGTGGAGAGTGTTTGTGTCAAATTGCATAATCCTGGCTTCATTTTATTTATTTATCGCAAATAGTTACCGAGAGTAACAAGTCTAGTCTAGACTATAGAATGGTCTAGACTCGATGGTTCTGTGTTGACGACCTTAAAGTGTAGGTTATTTCCCTGACACGATAAAAAGACAAGTGTTGTTGCTTCAGCACATGACGTTAATTGTTATTATTTTAATTAAACGTAAATGTCCTTTTAGCCAACTGTATTGTTATAAAATTACCGCTTCACGACGCTGAGTGGATTATTTTAATTGGCTTCTAACGGTGTCTGTTTTCCGTACGGCACATTGTTCCTTAATACATGTTTAATTTATAAATGTATCATAAAAAAAAATAAATTACTGCCTGACTTCAAAAGTGTGCTTCATATTTTATTTTATGGTGGGAACGCGTTTTCAGTTTGAGATTAACTGTCAGGTTTGCATGTGAACATTGCCTGTGATATTTACATCAAATGTTTCAATTAATTTTAACTTAAAAACTCGTTAACAACAAACATCAAGTCGCATCAGCATTGCCAACTTGGGGTTTGAAATAACCGTGATTTTAATTTTTTTTTACTCTTTCGTCATAAACAAATCGTTTCACGTCTCATAAATTATTACCGTAGATTAGAATTCGCTTATGTTCATCTGATGTACATTAGTGACTTAAATAACTTTTAAAAAATTGTCTTGAAATATACTGGGTGTAGACTTCAGTTGCCACTGGTAGACGAAATACACTGCCGGACAAAAGAAAACCAGACTTGAATTTTTTGTGAGTACGTGCAAATAAGGTCGGACAAATTTTAGTTTTTTACAATCTGCACGGTATTTCTAAAATGCTGATACAATTTCACAACGGGGACAGTTCGGGAAGTGAAAATTTAGGTAAATATTACTATTCTTATTTTAAAATCTCGACTAGGAACCGCGCACTCCGCTTCCACCACGTGTTTCTGTCTTATTTAACCTGAATTCCATTTTAAATGTTCAATTTCTATGACCCTGATATTAACGACAATTGGACAAGTGTTAACGTTTCAAAAAGAGCAATAAATAACATTTAAATTCGCCATACAATCTTGTGAAATTTTAAACAACAAATAATTCTTATTTGAGATTAAGATTGGACATCAGATAATTTATATGATGGGAACATTCATCAACTTAACAAACAGATCTGGTGTGAAATAAAACTCGTGCAGACAAAAATATTACGTGAAGTTAGAAACTGCAGAGTATGACAGTTAACGTTCAATTTAAGTTATAAAACAAAGAAAATTACTGAAGTTAAAATTGTGAGATAGAGAAATATTGTATAAAACAATTAATTTTGAGAGTTTATATCGTGAACTGCTTATCCCCAACAAAACGCATGATAAATAAACACAAAAATATCCAGTTATCGTTGCGAGGAAATGCCTCGATGATATGATATTTTAACTATTTTAACTCCCCACCAGTTCACGATATTATGAATTTTCTTTAATTTAACTGCCGTAAATGAACTACTAGTAATCTTGTGTGAAGAATTAAGAAGTAATACTTAAGTACATGCATCCAGGAACCTCATCATAACTTTATAAACAACGGGTGTTATCCTGACTAAGTGAATTTAATGATATCTCTTAGCAAATGTCTGTTAATTGTGTTAGCACCAGTTAACGATTAAAATCCTAAAATGAACTATGAATTGACAAACAATGAATTAAATTTGCACGAGTCGGCGTCGGTCAAAAATTCACATTTTCCGATTAGAAAGCCGCAAGAATTAGCTGCGCGTGTTGGGGAAAACCTTAAGTTGCAGGGAGTTGACTAAAAATCCTTAAGAAATACATTTTTAATAGCTGATTCGAAAAATATAATATGTTCATGGTCCCGAACCAAGATTTTCTAAAAATTTGCTTTGAATAATAAATTTGGTTAAATATCTCAAAATTTCTGTTTTTCATTTTATCGATTTTGGAAAAACAGTTGCAATTGAGAAGAAATCAAGACGAAAATAACTTTTACAAGTCGAAATCTACAAAAAAAGTCTTCAGATATTTTTCGAAGAATGTTCGATGAACGGTCGAAAAATTCATATTGAAAAATTGAGCATTTTGAAAAATTTCCTGAAAATTAATAAAAAATTCTGGTATATATTTCATTTCGACTAGCTAATTCGAAAAATATAAAGTGTTTATGGACCCGAACCAAGATTTTCAAAAAATTCGGCTTGAAAATGAACTTTTTTAAATATCTCGAAAATCCTCTTTTCAATTTTATCAATTCTGAAAAAATTGTTGAAATTTTCGAAAAACTCGACACGAAAATAACTTCTACAACCCGTAACATATAAAACAACGTTTTTTGGTAATTTTCGATGGATGTTTAAAAAACGGTCAAAAAATTCATATGAACCGGAAAATTGACATTTTTGAAAAGGTGACTAATAATTATCGAAAAACTGAGAAATCGAGAAATTGAAATCGAAAAATTGAAAATTCGCGAAGTCGAAAGATCAAAAGATCGAGAAGTCGGGAAATCGAAAAATTGAGAGATCGAAATAGATAAATATTGAAAAATGGAAAAATTCAAAATTGAAAAATTTAAACTTAAAAAACTCGATAAATCGAAAAATTGAGAAATAAATTGCGAAAAATTGAAAAATCGGAAAATTTAAAAATGAGAAGACCAAAAAATCGAAAGACAGAAATCGTAACAAAAAAGTGAAAAACCTAAAATTTAAAAATTCGAAAAATTGAAAATTTACAAAATCGTGAATTCAAAACATCAACGAATCGAAAAATCAAAAAATTGAAAACGCAAAAAATGTATGATTTAAAAAATCGCAAAATTTTGAAAAATCGAATAAGTAAAAAATAAAAAAAAACAGAAAGGTGGAAAATCTAAAAATTTAAAAATCGAAGTATTGAAAAATCCCAAAATTGAAAAATCCCAATACTCAAAGGTAGGAAGTTCGAAAAAATCGGGCAATGGGAAAGACGAAAAATCGAAGAGTCGAAAAATTAAAAAAATCATTAATCGAAAAATTGAGAAATCGAAAATTCCAAAAATTTAGAAGCGCCAAAAATTTAAAAATTGAAAAATCATAAATTTCAAATACATACATACAGCGAAAAATCGAAAAGATAAATTATTGAAAACCCGAGAAATCGAGATGGAAAAATTGAAAAATCGCGAAATCGAGACATCAAATGATCAAGAAGACGAGAAGTCGAAAAATAGAAAAATTAAGAAATGGAAGTGACTAAAAATTCAAAATTGAAAAATTTTAACTTAAGAAAACTATAAACCGACAAAGTGAAAAATTCGAAAAATTGAAAAACCATAAAATCAAAAAACGAAAATGCGGAAAATGGAAAGAAAACTGTTAAATCGAAAATTGAAAAATCGAAATATCGAAAAACTGAAAAATTTATTCCGAAAAATTGAAAAATCAAATAGTCTAAAAACGAGAAGGCAAAAATCGAAAGATTGAGAAATCGAAACAACAAAAAAGTGAAAAATCTAAAATTTAAAAATTCGAAAAATTGAAAATTTAAAAAATCGAGCAATCAAAACATCAACATTTCGAAAAATTAAAAAACTAACTAAATTAAAAAACTAAAATCGAAAAATGTAAACATTTAAAAGTCAAAGTGTTTAAAAGTCAATATTCGTCAGTTTATTGGATTTCTCACTAAGGCAGGTTGATAAAACACACCACTTCCCATTTAAAATCTACCCATGATAAATTTAAATATTCATTTTTGTGAAAAAATAATGGATTTTACGAATGTGGCGGTCACTTGTTTAAACTTCATTAATTCACTTTTATCTTAAGAAAAGTAACTTTTTCCTTAAGGAAAGAATATATTTTATTGTGTGATACTACAACACAGTTTCTACGTGAAGAAGGTACTGTATAACCAATTTCTGTAATCAGGCAAGGTAACTTTAGTCTTTGTCCATTTTATTCTACCAGAATGGAAATTATGATAAGCCGAAGAAAGAAGGCGGAGGAGTATTAAGACTGAACAAAAAAGTAAAAGAATTGAACATAATTCCAGATTCTTGTTTCATGTTTTTTACCGTTTGAAAATGAAGTTATCCAGTCAAATAAAAATTGGTCTAAAGAGTTTAGACAGTACTTCCCTCGCTGTCGGAAACTTGACGACTGCATGCCTATTGTGTTTTTTTTCTCATTACATTTTTGTAGTGGGAATTTAAAAAAAATTGCGATGACGTCATCAACATTTTTGCAAGGACACGTATATCAGTTGGGATAGATGTAGTGTAATACTAAGAATAAAATTATTATATTCTCAAATTTTCGGGAAAATGAATTGGGTCGTTTTGAATATTGATTTTTTATAATCAATAAAATAACGAAACAATTTACTCACGTATACGGCAACTGAAAATCGTTTATGTATAAACATTCTTAATTTAAGATGACAAGCGTAACAGCATACGTGAGAGTCAAACAGAGAAACTGTAAACAAAACGACCATCGGTTTTATTGCTTCGACTTCCGCTTATTATATAAAACATTGGGTTTTATTTTAATTCTTGACGGTGAAATTCACAATTGGTTGATTATAAACATGTCTATTTCACATTCGCGGAACCAAGTGAGCGCATAAAACAAATGCAGGTCTGTAATGTTAAAGTCGATGTAAATAAGCGTGCTACCCTTATGTTTCAACCGAGTTTTGCCTTTAACAAATTTTGCGTCCACCAAATTGCGTTGGTTGGGGTGTAATACTAATAATAAGTGTTGCCTTTAATTTAATCAATAAAATAAATTGACTTCATTAATTTTTTTGAACCACCTCTTAAGAAAATCTAAAAAATATGAATGGAATGATAAATCACAAGTACAAACTCATCATATTTTTTGCATTTTAGATAGGATTTATTCAGCAAAATTTAAGGGTGACGTCATCAATTTTTTTAGGACGGATGAACAAATACATTTTGAACAAAAGTTTACCATGCTTATAATAACTTTAAAATATTCCCAAGATTTCAAAGCATTCGGTTTTGTAATTCCTGATTAAATCGATAAAATAAATTCACGCCTTCATTAATTTTTTTGAGTCACCCTGCATATGCAAATCCAAAAATATGAATGGAATGATAAATCACAAGTACAGACTCATCATATTTTGTACATTTTAGATACGATTTATTCGGCAAACTTTTGAGCTGACGTCATCAGTTTTGTGTAGAAGATAACCAAATATATTTTGACTAAAAATTTATTATGCTCTTTATAACCTTAAAACATCTGCAAGATTTCAAAGCATTCGGTTTTGTAGTTCCTGATTAAATCAATAAAATAAATTTACGCATTCATTAATTTTTTTGAGTCACTCTGTATATGCAAATCGAAAAAATTTTAATGGAATGATAAATCACAAGAAGAGACTCACCATATTTTGTACATTTTAGATAGGATTTTTTCAGCAAAATTTTGTGGTGACATCATAAATTTTTTAGGGGAGACGTTTTGATCAAAAATTTACCATGCTTATGATAATTTTAAAATATCTTCAAGATTTCGAAGCATTCGGTTTTGTAGTTCCTGAGTAAATCAGTAAAATAAATTTACGCTTTCATTTATTTTCTTGAATCACCCTGTATATGCAAATCCAAAAAATATGAATGGAGTGATAGATCACAAGTACAGACTGATCATATTTTGTACATTTTAGATATGATTTATTCGGCAAATTTTCGAGCTGACGTCATCAAGTTTTTGGAGGGGATAAGCAAATATATTTTGACTAAACATTTATTATGCTCTTTATAACCTTAAAACATCTGCAAGATGTCAGAGCATTCCGTTTTGTAGTTCCTGATTAAATCAATAAAATATATTTACGCATTCATTAATTTTTTTGAGTCACCCTGTATATGCAAATCCAAAAAATATGAATGGAGTGATAGATCACAAGTACAGACTCATCATATTTTGTACATTTTAGATATGATTTAATCCACAAACTTTTGAGCTGACGTCATCAAGTTTTTGGAGGGGATAAGCAAATATTTTTTGACTAAAGATTTATGATGCTCTTTATAGCCTTAAAACATCTGCAACATTTCAAAGCATTCTGGTTAGCAGATTAAAAATTAAATTTCAAAATGTTGTTTTATAATTTTGATTTTTTTTCCAAAAATCTGGACGTTTCGGGTGAAAAGTCGATTCAGAGTTGTAAACTACATGTGTAGGACTATGTTATTTTATACAATTGAAAACCCATTTACTATGTACAATTTTGAAGTGACGTCATCGCATTAGTGGTGGGGATGATTAGACAAATTTTGGTTAGCGTTTTACCATCTACATGATATTCTTAATAAAAGTACAAAATTTCACAACAATCGGTCGAGTACTTTCGGAGATTATCTGTCTAATAAAAATCCGGGACGGCAGACGGACAGACGGACGGACAGACGGACGGACAGACGGACGGACAGACGGACAGACGGACAGACAGACGGAAATGGGAGACCTATTTCTTCGTCTTCTAGGGGTCATGAAAGATCGAGAAAACGTAAAAGTAGAGAGTCGGCCGACGGACTCGATTACAATACTTCCTTTGCTTACGCTCGGGAAGTAAAAAACTACCTATATAACAATAAAAAGGCAAAATGATTGGTTGTATTTAATGGATTTATAGTAATTATGCTTTTTTTTTAAAGACACGACTTTTCAAAAACCGTCAATTAAAACAGCGTCTTTTCTCTTAAACAAAGAAACCACAAACCTTTATTTCAAACTCTCATATACATCTTACACTTAGAACCAACCCCACCCTCACTTATGCCCCTTCTTCCCCCCCAGCAAATTCACCGACCTCCTCCTCTTCAACTCCGCCTTCCTCGCCTTAAACTCTTTCTTTCTCTGCGCCACCACCTTCGCGAACGCCTCCACCTGCACCTTCTTCTCCAGACACCTCTTCTTCTTCAGCGCCAGCCGTCTCCTCTTCCTCTGCAGACTCGTCGGCGTGATCAGCCTCTGGATTTTCGGTGCCTTGAACCTCGCCCTCTTGCCCTCCTTCAGCGGCAGCGGCCGCTTTACCACGTACTGCCTCACGTCGTCCTCCTTGCTCAAATTGAACAACTTCCTGATCCTCGAGGCCCGCTTGGGCCCCAGGCGCCGCAGCACCGACGTGTCCGTCAGGCCGGGGATGTCGTTGTCGCCCTTGCGCACTACCACCAGCGACAGCACGCTCAGGTTGGCGTCCACGATGCACCCCCGCACCGACTTCCGGCGGCGCTGGCCGTCGCGACGCGGCCGGAAGCAACGCGAGCTGGCGGAGAGCAGCAGCCGGACGCGGGTGGACGTGAGGACGCCTTGCTTCATGGGGAAGCCTTCTCGGTCGTTGCCGCCGGTGATGCGCAGGATGTAGCCCTTCCACTCGTCGCCGAGGGGCGAAGCGTCGATCTCCTGGCTGAGGCGCTTCTCGTAGAAGATGCGCAGTTTGGGCTCGTCGGTCACTTCGATGAGCTTCTGGCAGCCAGTGGCGGGATAAGAGATGTTGAGCTTCATTGTTGAGGGAGAACTGGGTTTTTGTTGATTTTGGGGTTGTCATGGTTAATTCGACAAGCCTGCTGTTTTTAATTTTTGTAGAATTAGGAATTTTGGCAGAAATGAAGTTGCATTTTGTGTGCAAATCGGTTCTTTTCAGTGGAAAAATATATGTTTTTTAGAGAGTCTGGTCAAAGTTCAAGAGACATATTGTTCTTATAGTGTTTTCACTTTGTCCAATAAAACTGTCACCAAATTAAACGGACAAGTACATACAGTAGACAGCGGTTAACCATTTTTGATCCTTTAAACGGAATTGCTGTTGAATATAAAGAGGTTTTTTCTGGTAAGTTTTCCATTTGGGACGAAACTTCACAGGTATTTAAACAGCACACGAAAATAACGAAACTAAACTCCCTGCAGGACGGAACGTAAGGGTCAGTCTTCCATGAAAATGTAGCTTCTCACAAAAAGGTGCACATATTAATTCAGCAACACATTTCAAGCGTTAAATATTTTTTTCTTTTATTACCTGTAACATATTTTTACATAAACTATAAATGGGCATTTTGGCCGAAAAAGTGTCTCAATGATTTTTTTCCCGAATGATCCAATCAAGTAATTTAAAATGAAGCTATAAATAAAGCAAACACATTGATTTATAAGGCTACTAACAATATGCAGTAATAATGATATAGCCTCTACCAGTCATTTTCTTGGAGGGTAGAAACAGAAAATAAAGGGTGGGTGGGCGGGGCTAGTTCCTGGCAAGGTAAGGCTAATATTGCGACATAACGTACCCTCTAAGAAAATAAAAAGTGGGTGGGTGGGGCTAGTACTTGCCAAAATAAGCCTGATTTTGGCAAATGAGTTACCCTCTAAGAGAAGCGAGGGTGGGTGGGCGGGCTAGTACCTGCTAAGATAAGACTAATATTGGCAAATGACATACTCTCTAAAAATATGAAGGGTAGAGGGTATATCATTTGGCAAAATCAGCTTTATCTTGCCAAGCACTAGCCCCGCCCACCCCCCCCCCTTTATTTTCTCATTTTTCTTCAAATATTTAAGATGTTCCTTCTCCTTTAATTCTTCTTTAATTTCCCAGAATTTTTAGTCAACTTTTCAAACATCTCATTGTTCAATATGAATTTTTCTTTTTTTTTGTAAATTTCGACCTGCAGAAGTTATTTTCGGGTTTATTTCTTCCAAAATTTCAACAACTTTTCCAGAGTTGACAAAATGGGAAATAAGGATTTTCGAGATCCTGAAAAAAATTCATTTCCAAACCAAATTTTTTCAAAATCTTGGCCCGGGACCTAGAAGGATTTCTAGTCAACTTTTCAAAAATCTCAATTTTTCAGTATGAATTTTTCGACTATTTATCGAGCATTGTTCAAAAATTTTTTTGTAGATTTCGACTTTTCAAATATACTAATTTTTCAATTCATACGAATTTTTTTATCAATTTCCGAGCACCCACTGAAAATTACCTAAAGACATTGTCTTGTATACTACGACTTGAAGAAATTATTTTCGTCTCGATTTCTTCGAAAATTTATTATTTCCAGAATCGATAAAGTGGAAAATGAGGATTTTAAAAAATTTTATTTTCAAATCAAATTTTTGGAAAATCTTGATTCGGGATCATGAACACATTAAATTTTTCAAAGCCTAGTTAAAACGTATTTCCAAGAATTTTTTAAAGATTTTTAGTCAACTTTTCAAGAATCTCAATTGCTCAATATGAATTTCTCGACCATTTATCCGAGCATTCTTCGAAAATTATCTAGTCATTTTTTTTTGTATATTTCGACTCGTAGAAGTTAGTTTCGGCTTCATTTCTTCCAAAATTTCAATTTTTTTTCCAAAATCGATAAACTAGAGAATAGAAATTTTGAGATTTTTAGCAAAATTCATTTTCAAAACGAATTTTCCGAAAATCTGGGTCCGGGGCTACGAACACGTTATATTTTTCGAATTAGTTCGTCAAAATATATTTGCCAAATTTTTTGAGAATTATAATTCATCTTTTCGACTTTTCGGTTTTCCAATTTTTCAACGTTTCGGTTTTGGGATTTATGTATTTAAAATTTACGATTTTTCAGTTTTTCAATTTTGGCGTTTCTAAATTTTTGGATTTTTCGATTTCTCAATTTTTCGATTAATGTTTTTTTTTTAATTTTTCGATTTCGCAAATTTTCAATGTTAAGTTTTGGGATTTTTCAATTTTGGGATTTTCCAATATGTACTAAATTTCAATTTTTAAATTTTTAGATTTTTCGACTTTCTGTTTTTTTTTGATTTTTTACTTATTCGATTTTCCAAAATTTTGCGATTTTTCAATTTTTTGATTTTTCAATTCGTTGATGTTTTGATTTCACCATTTTGTAAATTCTCAATTTTTTGAATTTTTAAATTTTAAGTTTTTCACTTTTTATTGTTACGATTTCTCAGTGTTTCGATTTTTTTGGCTTCTCATTTTTAGATTTTCCGATTTTTAATTTTTGCATTTTATTTTTCAATTTTTCGATTTATGGGGTTTTTTAACTTTAAATTATTCAATTTTGAATTTTCCCATTTTTCGATATTTATCTATTTCGATATCTCAATTTTTCGATTTTTCGACTTCTCGATCTTTTGATGTTTCGACTTGGGAATTTTCAATTTTTCGTTTTCAATTTGCTCGATTTCTCAGTTTTTCGATAATAATTCATCTTTTCGATTTTTCTGTTTTCCAATTTTTCAACGTTTCGGTTTTTGGATTTATGTATTTAAAATTTACGATTTTTCAATTTTTCAATTTTGGCGTTTCTAAATTCTTGGATTTTTCGATTTTTCAATTTTTCGATTAATGGATTGTTTAATTTTTCGACTTTCCGATTTCTCAATTTCTCAAATTTTCAATGTTTAAGTTTTCGGATTTTTCAGTTTCGGGATTTTTCAATATGTATTTCGATTTTTAAATTTTTAGATTTTTCACCTTTTTGTTTTTTTTGTGATTTTTTTACTTTTGCGATGTTTTAAAATTTTGCGATTTTTTTAATCATACATTTTTCGAGTTTTCAATTTTTTGAATTTTCGATTCGTTGATGTTTTGAATTTTCAATTTTGTAAATTTTCAATTTTTGGAATTTTAAAATTTTAGATTTTTCACTCTTTTGTAGTTTCGATTTCTCAATCTTTCGATTTTTTGCCTTCTCGTTGTTAGATTTTTCGATTTTTCAATTTTTCGGAATTAATTTTTCAATTTTTCGATATTTCGATTTTTCAGTTTTTTGGTTTATCGGGTTTTTTAAGTTTAAATTTTTCAATTTTGATTTTTCTCGTTTTTCGGTTTTTAGTTATTTCGACTTCTCGATCTTTTGATGTTTCGATTTCGCTATTTTTCAATTTTTCGATTTCGATTTCTCGATTTCTCAGTTTTTCGGTAATTCATCTTTCCGAGTTTTCGATTTCCAATTTTTCAACGTTTCGTTTTTGGGATTCATGTATTTAAAATTTACGATTTTTCAATTTTTCAATTTTTCGATTAACGGATTGTTTAAGTTTTCGACTTTCCGATTTCCCGATTTCTCAAATTTTCAATGTTTAAGTTTTCGGATTTTTCAGTTTTGGGATTTTTCAATATGTAGGTATTTAGATTTTTCACCTTTTTGTTTTTTTTTTGATTTTTTACTTATGCGATGTTTTAAAATTTTGCGATTTTTGAATTATACATTTTTCGAGTTTTCAATTTTTTGATTTTTCGATTGGTAGATGTTTTGATTTCTCAACTTTGTAAATTTTCAATTTTTCGAATTTTTAAATTTTAGATTTTTCACTTTTGTGTAGTTTCGATTTTTTCAATTTTTCGGAATTAATCCTTCAGTTTTTCGATGCTTGGATTTTTCTCTTTTTCGGTTTATCGGTTTTTTAAGTTAAAATTTTTGATTTTGAATTGAATTTTTCCCCTTTTCGATTTTTAGTCACTTTCATCTCTCAATTTTTCGATTTTTCGCCTTCTCGACTTGTTGAGCTTTTGATGTTTCGGTTTCTCGATTTCTCAGTTTTTCAATTATTCGTTTTCGACTATTCGAGTTTCCAATTTTTTGTCGTTTCAGTTTTGGGATTTACGTATTTAAATTTTTTGATTTTTCAATTGTTCAATCGATTTTTTAATTTTCCGATTGCTCTGTTTAAGTTTTGGGAATTTAAATTTTGGGATTTTTCAAGACTTGGATTTTTAAATTTTTAGATTTATCGACTTCCTGTTTTTTTGATTTTTTAATCGAAAGAAAACCGTTAAATGGAAAAATTGAAAAATCGAAATATCGAAAAACTGAAAAATTAATTCCGAAAAATTGAAAAATCGAAAAATCAGACGGAGTTAACCGTCATTTTTATATTGCAAACCGTAATCTGGAAAAATATTAATCCATTTTCACCTAAAAGTAGAGTAGGATACACATTAACAAAACATAAAAGCATCGTGACAGGCAAAAGTTACGTGATATTGCGTCAATTATCGCTTCATCACTTAAAAGTGCGGACACAAAAACCACGACGCCATTAAGGTGCCCATTTATCTCCTAATTAATGAAACCAAACACTTCGAAAATTGTACCTAAAATTAGTCCAAATACAGCACATTTCCCCTTTTATTACACTCCCAAATTAAAAATACCCCACATTTACATCGCATCCACACGCAACTTTGCGATAACGCAGTTAATTCCTAACTTCGTCATTATCGCAACTAGTGATAACACATTGCAATATTCATGGCAATTTTTCTCCTACTACATCCACACGCTTACGCATTTCCCAGGCTATGATTCATTGAAACTGTTTACCTTTAATTAATTGGGTTTATGAACGCGGAAGGTCGCGAAGAACAAGCCCAGAAGGTAATTGCAGATAAATAATTTATTTTTGTTCCCTTGTCGCAGCGGTACAAAGTTGCTTTTCTTTTAAAGTTGCAACAGGGATGTTCTTGTAATTAGCAGCCTTTGTCGCCGAAATTCGGGCGGAAATTGCTTGATCTCGGGGGGCGGCACTGTTCGATAT